GTGTGTTTTGGACCATTTGAAATGCTTTGACTACTCTACTACTCTACTGCCACTTTATAGATCACTAGTTCGGCCTCATCTGGAGTATGCGGTCCAGTTTTGGTCACCAGTCCACAGAAAGGATGTCCTTAAGCTGGAAAGAGTCCAGCGGAGGGCAACCAAACTAATTAGGGGAATGGAGGACCAGAGCTATGAGACACGGCTACTAAATGTAAACATGTTCACGTTGGAAGTAAGGAGATTAAAGGGGGAAATGATTTTCATGTACAATGGTGATAGCAACATTAGCAACAAACTCTTTACGATTAACTCTGTAACGAAGACTAGAGGCCACCACCTAAAATTGGTGGGGAAAAAATTCCAACACAAGGGGCGAAGGGGGTTCTTCACAGTTAGAGCGGTTAGGGTCTGGAACTTGCTGCCAGAGGTAGAGATTTCAGCTAAGAGTGTGGAATCATTCAAGAAGCTTTTGGATGATTTCCTGAGAGACCGTAACATACAGGGGTACAGGTACAGGTAAGAATAAGGTGATACATGGACCTATACATACACACACACACACACACACAATAGGTTGGACTTGATGGACTTGTGTCTTTATTCAACCTCAAATACTATGTAACTATGTAACTTGAATGTTCCCTGAACCTAATGAAATACATTTGTATCTGGACTATTTTGATTGGTGTAGTGCTTCATTCCCTACATCAATTGTTGTCATGCAGGCTGGACATCAATCATGTCTGCCTTTGTTAATTTCCATTACAAGGTTGATTGATGGGAATAGAAGTTTATACAATAAATATGAGGTAATTTGTACTTATTATAGAAGTCAGCAGAGCTTCACCTCATTCACTAAGCTAAGAGAAAATTCCCTTGCAAAGTGAACAGTCTATTTTATTTAGTAAGTCAACCCCAAAGTTTGCAGGCCTTGCAACTTAAAAGGTGAAGATAATGGATTGGGGCGGTTATGATCTGTGATGCAATACAGTTACTGTGCCCCAGTTTAGGTGTCACATTCCTGTCTCATTCCTGGAATCAGTGTGTTTTTGAATAGTGGGAGTAAACTGGAACATCAGGTGGACACTCACACAAACGTGGATGAGTAAATACATGGACTCGTGGAATATACCAAACTAAATGCCGACATTTCTCTAAAGCCGAGTACCAAAATTTACGTTTACAAAAATGCATTTTTTAACAAATATTTAGCAGATGTCAATGACGCTCTCTACACTTTAGACAGATGTTTTAGATGTCATAATGTTCATCTTAAAATGGCAAAAAATATTTTGGCAAGAAACAGATTCGCCTCGGGTCTATTGCATTTCATCTGAGGGACCTAAATACCACCTAGCCGAAAAAAAAAAAATGATAGGTTATGTGCTTTCTTGAATTTCTTATTGCCCTAGGTATTTAGCATTAGATTATAGAAGAAAGATTACTTATTTTGAAATCTCGATCTATTTAAATTTACTGGTACTTTTGTATTTCTTTGACAATAGAGTCATTATGCTTGCATGAGAAGATGACACAGCAGAAAATGCAATCTGAAGCTGAATTCAGCAAGCCTATCTTTGCTTGAATGATTTTTTAAAGTTTGTAAAGGGAGAAGGAGCAACCTTATATCCATGAATATAAAATAGGATATCCCTGCATTCATTTAAAGAAGCTTGGTTTTTAAAGTGAAAATGAATACAAAAAAATGGAGAAAGAGTGTATTAAGCATTAGAGATTAGTGGGTGATACATTTCTTTGTATTTGTCTTGCGTTTGTCATACATTTTATGTATTTCCCATGCTTTTGTCATGCAATTACTTTGACTTGTATGGTGAAATAAAAGCAAAGCCCGCACTGATCTCAAACTAACTTTAAATCAGAACTCCAGCCAAACATCTCGGTCAGGACACTTTCTGCAAGGAGTTTGCGTGTTCTCTCTGCGCTTGCATGGGAAATTTCCTTGCTACTAAATATTCCACGGTCAACTGTTAGTGGTATTATAACAAAATGGAAGCAACTGGGAACAACAGAAACTCAGCCACAAAGTGTTAGGCCACGTCAAATGAGAGAGCGGGGTCAGCGCATGCTGAAGCGCACAGTGCCCAGAAGTCGCCAACTGTCTGCAGAGTCAATAGCTACAGACCTCCATACTTCGTGTGGCCTTCAGATTGGCACAACAACAGTGCGTAGAGAGCTTGATGGAATGGGTTTCTATGGCCGAGGCAGCTGCCTCCAAGCCTTACATTACCAAGTGGAATGCAAAGCGTCAGATGCAGTGGTGTAAAGCACGCCGCCAATGGACTCTAGAGAAGTGGAGACGTGTTCTCTGGAGTGACGAATCACGCTTCTCTGTCTGGCAATCCGATGGACGTGTTTGGTGGTTGCCAGGAGAACGGTACTTGCCTGACTGCATTGTGCCAAGTGTAAAGTTTGGTGTAGGGGGGTATCATGGTGTGGGGTCATTTATCAGGGGTTGGGCTTGGCCCCTTAGTTCCAGTGAAGGGAACTCTTAAGGCATCAACATACCAAGACATTTTGGACTATTTAATGCTCCCAACTTTGTGGGAACAATTTGGGGATGGCCATTTCCTGTTCTAACATGACTGCGCACCAGTGACATGGATGACATGGATGAGCGAGTTTGGGGTGGAGGAACTTGACTGGCCTGCACAGAGTCCTGACCAGTGGCGTAACCAGAGTAACGGGCGCCCAGGGCAGAACAAAATTTTGCGCCCCCCACCCCCCCCGGTGATATGTGGGGGTGTACAGGTACAGTGAGAGCATGCTGGGACATATCGTAATCGAACTACAAGTCCTAGCATACCCTCATTGTCCCTGTATGCCCCCAAATATCACCCAGGGAATAGTAACAAGCTGATTGGTAGGCTCCTGTCCTCCTTCTGTGCAGGGGAGCCTGGGTCCCTGTAGGGAAGGAGCCTGCCAATCAACAGGTTATCATGGCAAGTGGGCCATGATATTTTGTACTTTTTAATCACCCTGTCACCTCCAATACAGGAGTCCTAACACAGCGCTGTGCTGGAACTCCTGTGACAGGTGAGAGGGGAAGACCGCTCTCCCCTCTCACTGTTCACACGGAGCTGCAGGGATACTTTTAACCCTGCCGCTCTGCTCCCCGCATCGACTGCCAGTGAGGAAAGAGACTCGGCGCCAGGGGGAAGACGGAGCCAGTGAGGAGAGAGGGAGGTGCGGGGGGGGGGGGGGGGGAGAGGATGGACAGGCAGCAGTGTTATTACAAGTGATCTTGGTGGCATCGCCGAGATCACTTGTAAACAAACAGTCGGCTTCCCCACACTACATTTAGTCCTGCATATGCAAAGCAGGGCTAAATGTAGAAAGCAACTTACTGACCTGGATTTCACACCGCTGCAGCCCGCAAATCTTTAATTCGCCGGATTTCGCTTGTCTCTGCCCAGCGGCCGGCGCCCCCCCCAAGCTCTGTGCCCGCCGGGGCGGCCCCACCGGTTGTTATGCCACTGGTCCTGACCTCAACCTGATAGAACTCCTTTGGGATGAATTAGAGCGGAGACTGTGAGCCAGGCCTTCTCATCCAACTTCAGTACCCGACCTCACAAATGCGCTTCTGGGAGAATGGTCAAACAGTCCCATAGAGACACTCCTAAACCTTGTGGGCAGCCTTCCCAGAAGAGATGAAGCTGTTTATAGCAGCAAAGGGTGCAGCCAACTCAATATTGAACCCCATGGACTAAGACGGGGATGCCATTAAAGTTCATGTGCGTGTAAAGGCAGGCGTCCCAATACTTTTGGTAATATAGTGTATATAAAATGACAAATCCAGAAATTAAAAGTCCTTTAAAAGATTTTTTTTTAAAACAGCTTTTGCATCAATATACAGCTTTAATACAGACACTTTCCTTGCAATAGCTTTTTCTGCCACTAGATGCCCTCAGCCTAATGGCCAGCATCATCCTAGCCTGTACTGGACAGTGAGAGGAAAAGCAGTGCACAGATGAGCTTATCTCTCTGTTATTCTGCATTCTCCTCCTATCAGCATGCTTTGTTTGCCAGCACATGAACTGATTGGCTCTTGTGCTGCTACTTCCCCCTCACACTCCAGCTCTGCTATAAAGGGAATGCAAGAGGCTGTTATCAGGTCAAATTCAGGCACTTGCACTGCCTGCATTTAAAAATACATTTATTGGCATTTATTGGTGTATTAGTGATTACACAGCTGTGTTAATTTGTATATTTTATATCTGCCTCAAATTCAGCTTAAAATGATCTAAAACATTTTTGTACCCTAGCGAAAGCAAACCCATATTTCCTATAAACATCATAAAATAACACTAAATAAATAAATAAAAATAATTACATAAATAAATGCAAATATAAAACTTGACAATATACAGAATTGAATCTATAATGGGATTGATTAATAAAGGACAATTTTAAAAAATAAGTGCACCTTTGTCATGAAAATAAGAATAAACTATTATGTTGCTCCCCATATGTTATTAGTCCAATGCCAGCAACACCGGAATTATGGAAACATGGACAAAAAGAAATATGCTTAGGGTTATATGGGGTTTTCCAGGATTATATGAAATAAGTTATCCCCAGCATCACTTCAGAGGTGCCTTCTCTTATGCTCATCATTGTCATCCAATTATGAGGTCAGTTACACTGTAGTCAGCACTAAATGGATGCCAGGGATGCCTTCTTTCATATCAATTGCTTTCCCTGCATCAGTAGATGATAGTGTGTCTTTTGCAGCCATTTATATATGGTGGCAGCATAAGTACAGTTACACAGGGGTGTAGAGGTGCACTAGGTAGGGCTAGGGTACTGAGGTCATGATTCAGATTCCAACTTTTAGATTATCATGGACACTCAGTGTAATAGCTGGAGACACATAGACATTCTTCTATTATCACACATGCCAACACATCTCAGGATCAAATAGTTTGTGGAACACAATTGTGATTTTTGGCCATTGCTTTTGTCAGAGAACTATTGCCTACCTATGGTAGAACTCAGATATATGAAGGCTGTTAAAGTCCTTTATATGTACAAATCGAAGGGAGGAGTAGTTTATTTGCAAAGCCTAAAAATAAAGAGGACATATTGTAAAATATTTCTGCATGCTTAACTTTATGCCACAAATTATAGTGTTATCTTGAAGAAATATTAGTGGGACTAGGGCATGTATATCAAGGAAAGATATGGAGTCATCCAAGGACAAGGACAGACCACCCTTCAGTATAAATTTCCACTAGTAAAAAAAATGCCCCTAACAGGGATATTTCAGTGGATAATCCACAATGTAAAAAGAAAATAAACCATTGAACTAATGAATTTCAAAGCAAAGCAACGTTTAACTAAAAATAATAATGCAACAAATAAGTAAATCTCAAAAAGACATACTATACTGAAAAAAATCAAGTCAAATCATTGATTTGAAAAAGATAAAATAAATAAGACCAGACAAAAATGTTAAAACCACAAAGAAACACACTTTTTTTTTAATATTTATAGCCTATTTTTTTTTTGCTTTTTTCTTAATTACATTTTATTTTCATTTCAGTATAGTATATTTTTTTAGATGTATTTATTTGTTCCATTATTATGGTTTGGTTTCATTTATTTATAATGTGGGTTATCCACTTGAATATCGCTATTATGGGCATTATTTACTACTGGAGAGTTATATTTTTATGAATGTGAGGATATGAATATTGTAACAATCAAATCTAACTTAATGACAAATGCTGTAATATATAGAGGCATATGCTAAATCTATATTTTCACTAATTTAGCATGGTGCAATATTTCTTTTCTAAGCAGCACTATTTCTTAAACAGTGTAACCAGTATTAGTTAATTTCTTCTTTAGGTCATTTGAGGCAATAATTGACTTATCTTTGAGTGGAAGTGCCTTTCAATGCCTCAAATGCATAAAAAGTCAGCTTGGTGACCAGCTACCTGTCAGCTTGTCAAGATGATTGCTGACAGAGTTGGGAAGAGGAGGGGCCTGTTCACATGTACTGTTCAATAGCTGACTGACTTTGGAAAACGGACATAAAATGTATAGAAATATTTTTGGAGGGGCAAGGAGGGTATACAGGAATATACACTTTGTTATAGAAGAGAAATTCAACATAGGCCAGTGTTGGCAGACAGTGAAAGTGTTACAGTGAATCTGGGGCCAGGCTACAGGCATTTAAGCATTTACACATTTATACCAGGCAGTAAATAAGCTTTAAAACAAGTCCTTACTAACCTGTAACTAACAGCTGCATACACTGTGGAGCAATTAGCCTCAATTTTCACAATAGAAGCACTCAAGTGGTTCTTCTTAAGGTGCCCATACACTGTACGATTCTCGTATGAGAATCGTGGGAAATCCCGCGATCGTATGATAATCGTACAGTGTATGGAAGGCGTGCAACCGTTTCTACTGTACGATCACACGTCTTCCGTCGAACAAGCAGGCTTGAAAACCAGGTTAGTGGCCTGCTTGTTCGACAACTGCCGAACGGGCCGGTTTGCAGTAATCGGAAGCCCGCCCCTCACTGCGGTCATCGGAAGCCCGCCCCTATGCGGGGCGAGCTTTCGATGATCGTACGAGCTTTTAATTAGCTTACGACCATGGCAAGACTTGCCATGGTGGTAAGGTGAATGGGCACCTTTAGACCTTTTGCTGCCGCAGCTGTGAGTGTTTTGCCTACAGCAGCACTAGAATGTAAACACAGTTTTTTCTACCAACTGATGGTTTTCCTGTTCTACATGCTAAGAAAGGTGTACATGTGCACACACAAACGCGTGCCTAGGGTGTGCACATGTACAAAAACTACAAATGCAACACACATATTAGGATTCACCATGTATACCAGACTGAGCAATAATTTTAGGGCCATCATCATTCACTGTTTCACAATTTTGAGACTTGAAATATTTGGTATCTACTTGCTCTATACAACCTTATCTTTTACATTTTACAAAAAATTAGGTATTATATTGTGTTGGTGCGCACTAAAAATAATTTGTGTACTTTTTACTAAAAATAGATTTGATAAACAGTAGCGTAAATATTGTGTTACGTATAAAGTTGCAATTGCCACCATTTTCTGCATTCAGAAAAAATATACAGGGTTATTCACAGAAGGGTGAAGAGTTTGGAGAAGGCAGGAGAAGTCGACAATCTAGGACAACATAACTGAACTGGAAAGTGAGCTGAATTGGAGAATTTTTCCCAAATCAGCTACTTTGTCCTAGATTGTTCATTTCTCCTGCCTTCTCCAAACTCTTCACCTTTTTGTGAATAACCCTGATAATGTTTTCAGGGATTTAAGTAATCTTGAGGCCTAAAATGTGCATCTTTACATGTATGCAAAAAAAAAAAAAGACTCCGGCAGCAAATGGGTTAAAGTAAACTGTGACCAGGACTTTTTAAGCATTAAGCAAGCAGTAAGTTAACTTTGAAACAAACCTCTATAGCTGGAGTCATTGTGGATCAATTGATCCTCAATATTCACAGAATAAGTCCTATAGCTGTGCAAGTTGTTCTCTCGGCAGCTCAGCTCACCCTGCTCCCACCTCCCAGATAGTAAAATATTTACTATCATCCAGTTATCAATGAGTAGAATCCTCTATACTGAGTGCTTCTCCCCATTCAGAAATTAATTTACTATGTACTATGTGTCCCCAGTTGTTTACAAACATTGGAGTGATCAGCTGATCAGTCCAGTGTTTGCTTTGCACAAAGAGGATCGGTAAATAGCACAGATATTTACTGATCCTCCGCTCTGCCATCCTGATCGCTGAAGCCAGCGGGGGTGCCAAGGAGGGAGCTCTGAGGCTGGTGGTGGGTGGAACTGACAGGAAGACAGCGTCTCGTCTCTGCTCTTCTCCCTGCTCGGCTGCGGCTCCTCTCTCCTTACCACTCAGCCAACCTGAAGTGATAGAGCTCCCTCCTAAC